AAAACGGAATAAAAATCGAATTTACCTTCTTGTTTTTTCCGCACCGGAGGTGTGGGCCCTTGGGTTCCGTTTGGGTCGCCCACCTCCTGGACAACTTCCTGTGTGGGGGGGGACCAGCTGATCGCCGGGGGGAGCAACCCGGCCCATATTCTGCGGCGCTTCACCCAACTCCTACCGAACTGCCGCAACATCGCACCGGAGACCACCCAGGCGGGTCTCGTGTCATCACACAGCAGTCGCGGTCCACAGGCGCTTCGCGCAGACGAGGTCGAGCGATGGGTCGTTGCAGCCTTTGACGACGAACTCGCAGGCGGTGCCAACTACGGTGTTCTCGACGTGCTTGTCCACGGCTGGGTTTTCAACTTTGAGACAGTGGGCACTGTTGTTGCTGTGTTGTTGTCGTCGTGGAAAGCGCTGGGTCAGGATCGATACGCGAAGAGCGCAACGAGTAGTTGCTTTCATCACATCTACTGGAAGTATGTATTTGTCATCACATCTACTCGAAGTATGTATTTGTCAAACCTTGAGGTTCCAGTCTAAAACCAATATAAATAGTGGTATAAGTTCAAGTATTCAACACTAAATCCTACTTCTATACATTTGTCTGACCTGGGGGTTCCCGTCTAAATCAAATACTTCCGAAGAATAAAATAGTTCAATAGGTTCAAGTACAAAACACTAAATCCAACTTCTATACATTTGTCAGACCTGGGGGTTCCCGTCTAAAACCAATATAAAATAGTTGTATAAGTTACAGTGTAACACTCTAAATCCTATATGTGTGTCAGACCTGGGGGTTCCAGTCGGAGTCGTACAGGATAACCACGTCGGCGGTGGCGAGGTTGATCCCGAGCCCCCCGGCGCGCGTGGAGAGCAGGAAGAGGAACTTGGAAGAGCCAGGCTCGTTGAACTCGTCCATCTGGGAGTCGCGAGACTCGCCGTCCGTGCTGCCGTCGATGCGGCAGTAGTCATACCCTTGGAGGTGCATGTAGTCCTGCGTTTACGGTAGCGTTAACGTAGCGTTAGACGTCCAAGGGTTAGGGTAGAAGGAATCGGTAGTGCAGAGCGTACCGTGAGCCTTGGAGCAAAGTTAACGTCAACGTGGTAGGGATTGGATAAGAGGAAGCGGTTGGGCAGAACGCACCGTGAGGTCGACACTTTTTGCGGTTGTATTCGGCAACATCGTGTAGCCCTGGCTGCCAAGGGTTCAGGCTAAGGTGGGCAGAGTCAAGGCGTTATTCACTTCTAAATTTGCTGAATCGGGGGGGGGGGGGGGGGGGGGGGGTCCCCTTTTTTTTTTACCCAAAAAAAGAAAGAAACCCAGGGTTTGGGGAAGGAAGGGGGTTTAAATCGGGAAAAAAAAAAGAGGGGGGGGGGGGAAACCAAAAAGGGGGAGGCGGAAAACTTAAAAAAATTAACCCCCCAAAAAAAGGGGGGGGGGGGGGGAAAGAAAAAAACTTTTTTTGAAAAAAAAAAAAAAAGGGGGGGGTTTTTTTCCCTTTTCAAAAAAAATTTTGAAAAAAAAAGGGCCCCGCCGGGGGGGCCCCAAAACCCAAAAACCTAAACCAAAAAAGGGTTAAAAAAACCCCCCGAAAAGGGAGGAAAAAAAATTGGGGAAAAAATTTGGGGCCCCCATGGTCCAACCCCCCCCCCCCCGGGGGCCTAAACCCCCCCCAACCAAAAAAAAAAAAAAAAAAAAAAAACCCCAAGGGGAGGGGGGGGGGCCCTCCCCCCCTGCTAAAAAAAAAAAAAAACCCC